AATGTACTTATGTATTAGTTGATATAAAAGAAGCACATTGTATTACTCATTACATTTCTTTCTCTCATTTTCTCTTTCAAACAGTTGTTGTGACTATTCCTTACTTTATTAACTTTATGTCTGAAAATTTGTTTATTAAAGGTTTATCAGTATGCTTTTAAAACTTTTTTAGTATAACAAAGAACTCAATCATTTAATGTGTATTGCAAATAGTAAACTATAATCATTAAAAAAAACATGCACATATGCATACTTAATAAAATAACTAAGACCCCAATGCTGATAAAGCTTGTATGAAACCCATTTTGTGAGGGGTTTTCTGAATTTGGTCTTAGCAATTAACTCAAAGGAAAATCATATTTGACACATTCTTTAGATATTTTATGATCTTAGAAGTTAGAAACTGAAATTTACTTTATTTAAAAAAAGAAAAGTACTAATGTAGGTGTACAACAAATAGAAGGTAAAGGGATGAACTTCTTTCTTATTTTGTGGAAGTAACTGTAATATTATTACTCCTAATAAGTATGTGAGCTATTGGTACCGATGGTAGGCAGAGCACAGATAGCACATTGTGCAGCTTTATGTTTAACATCAAATGATCCCTTTAACAGTCCATTGTTTTATAATACCTTATTAATGCCAAAGAGTAAATTGTTACAGTAATGAGTTCGTTAGATAACCAAACTCTTAGTATAACTGAAATTCATAAGAGTTTCTACTTGCATTTACCATTATGTTATGGTTGTTATTTTACAGCTAAATGTTGTTGTTAGAACCAACTTTGGTTTTTGTAATTCTTTAAAGAAGATTTTTCTTGAAAGTGATATAATTTTACAACTATAGAGAATCTGTAATTTAAACATTTTATTAATATTAGGTAAATTAAAAGTACATAAAATCCTAATTTTAAGATACAAGTATCTTTAGAAAACTTATTGTTTGGGACTTTTGAATAGAAATGTTAACAGGTAACTAATTCTTAAAAGGTTGGAGGGAGTGATCAGATGGGAAATATTCACTCAGGTCACGATCTTATTAACCGAGTCAGAAGCAGAGAAGTCTTTGGTAAATATATGTATTAAATAATTTATTAAAATCTATTGTTTGTTCTTAATTTTTGTTTGAAGTTATTTTATAACTTCAAATTGCAATGAACTCTACATTTAAGAAGTAAATATATATATAGCATATAAGAGAAAAAATAAAGATTATGCAAGTTTGATTTTTTATTAATTTAACCATAATTTTAATAACATAATTTCAAATCAGGTAGACTTACGTCTGAAATACTAAAACCCTTTCCTTATTGAGTTGTTCTCATGCTGTTAAAACCATGTGACTTTAGGTTCTGAATTTTTTTGACACAATGAGGTGCATACATCAACTTACCCAGCATTCATATTCCTCATGTTTGTCATGTGGGTAGCCTTTTCATGGAGTCATCATCCAACTTCTCAAGTTCTTGACCCTTAGATCTGTTATTTCAGGGATCCTCCACGTTGGCCTTCTACTTTACTCATCAGTTTTCTGCCCTACACACTATGATTTGTCTCATTTTGAGACTTTCTTCTTCAGTGCATTCTCATTCTCTTTATTCCTTTAGGCAGATTTAACCTTCTATCTTTCAGTCTTCCTTAGAAGTGGCTTTTACTGATGTAGTTTCTTTTACTACATAGCTCTTTTCTTTGACACATTAATTAACCTGTTATGCAATGTTGCAAGGTTCTTGTCTCCCTCCCCTACCTTCTCTGCATCCTTTTGTCTTTGTAAGAATTTCACCCAAGTTAGTTTCTTATTCAGGAGAAACCAGAAGGAGGTGATTAGGGTTTTAACATCCTGACTTACTTCTGGTCATAATTTCTGTTTGAGGCAACCAGCAAATAATGTTCATTCTCCTGCCTTGCATCCTCCGTCTACTTCTCAGTCAACATTCTCTGCTTCTGATCCTTTTCAACTTGCTTGACTCTATTTTGTTCTGGGTAAGTTCTCCATTCAGATGATTGGGAGGTCATTTCAGATACTTTTTTCACCTATGGGATCCTTGGGTTTGACAGATCCCCCAGTCTGATTATTTTTGTAATTATTGCCATCCTTATCTGTCCTCTTCCTTCTGATACAGTTTACTTACAAATCTGTCTTGTTTCTTGTGATGTTCTCAAACACCTTAAAAGTGAATTTCAGGTTACATCTAAACAAATTCACTATTTGGTGATGTCTTTGGTATTATAGTCACAGTACTCTTTTAGGATATTATGCAGTCTGACATGAGGGAAATTTAAATAAACTCTTAAATTTCACTAACATCGTATTGCTGTTTCTTAAGTTTGGGATTCTGTTTGCCTTTGATGGTGATTCTTCAAGCCAGATGCAATCCCTAGCAGGTGAGTTCTTCTTTGTTACCTACTTAATTACCACTTGGGTTCACACCTATGTTGTGCATGGTAACCCAGGTATAACCCTATACTGCCCATCACCCCTTTCAATAATTACAGGGATGGTTGGGGTTGAGGAGTAATTTAAATAAATAATAATAATCTGTCATTTATAGTATGAGACTATGTGGTTGAAAGGATATGTCCCACTGGGACTCCCATGTTACAGATACTTCTGTAATTGTCCCAGACAAAATTCCTCCTTCTGCACTGCTTCTACATTAGAGTGTGATGCCTTCTTGAAATGGACAGAGAATGCCATTTTCTGGCTGATAATTACTCAGTGGGTACTTTTCTGACCTCTGCATGCTCATGCTTGTGTAGCATTCCATATATCAGAGATGAGGTGACTCATCTCCATATCATGTCAACTGGAAATAGGGTGGAATACACCTCACAGCTTTATTTTTTATCTTTTTTTTTTTATCTTGCTTAGTGCTTGACAACACTGTTCTAACTTTGTCAAGCTCATCCAGAGGTCTGTCTTGGTCTTTTGGATTCTCCCTGAGTGCCCAGTAACTAGACAGGTTATGTGACTTGGCTGGTCTTTTACGTTGAGGATGTAGCCCCAGGATGCTGTCCAGTCAATAGTTATTACTGGTCTCCTCCTCCAAGAAACTTTCACAACAGGTACAAGACAACTGATTGTGCTCTGACCCTGAATACCTGTTATGTCACCACCTGTGACCATACCTGAAAATGTGCATGACTCCACAGGTACATACATGCCACCCACTCCTTTTTATATGTTATGTAAAGATATCCTGCTGAAAATAATTCCTTTCATTCTTAGTGTCCTCGTTTTGGTCCTGTCTCTTATGGGGCTAGTCTGCTCCACTCAACTCTACCATGAACCCAGGTTATTGACCTTTACTCTGGTTCTGAATTCCACTCAAACTCTACTTAATCGCAACTTTCATTTTTCTTAGTCTAGGTTGTTGCTTTCCTTCCAAAGATCCCAACTTTTGGTGAACCAGTGTTTTTTTTTATGACAGTCTTAAGTCCCTTCATCATTTCAGTGTCATTCTAGAATGTCATTGGCCAGGGTTTGATCAAAGAATGTCTTATCAGACCACTAATTTCGGCAAAGATAGTCTGTCACAATCACATTTGTGTTTTGTGACTTGTGGTTAATTGAAGAATATTAATCAAAAGTTAAGTTAAATCTATTTTAAGCAAAAAATTACAGGACCACTAGTTTCATTTGACAGAGTAATTGCAATAACAACGTGACATCTAGCTGCAACAAAAATGATTACTGATCAAGCCACTATTTCATCCAGTTGTTAGTTATCTTTGTGTTGATCTCATTTCTATGAACAAAAACATCTCAATTTAAGAGGATACTAATAAGTTTTTTTCAAATATCTTATCAATATACATACTAAAAAAGAACAAGTTTCAGTTTTTATGTGCACTGCTTAATTTAGTGATCTTTCTACTAATAATGGTCTTGTAAATTTTATTAATGGTCCTATTTTGTTTAATTCAGTGATCCTATTTATTAATACTTGTTTCAAGAACTAAAATTCTTTAATTTCATATTTTCAGCAGACCTACATAAAAATTTTCTCCTCATTTTGAAGAAAACCAAATATTTTAACTTTTGTTATATACTAATCACTAAGAATTATTACCTTAATATGAAAACTGATCTACTTTGAAAAAATGTGGGTTGATAATAGTGTATGTCAAATAATATTTTATGAGTTCAAAGTTAAATATATAAATAAGTTGTAGTAATTTCAAGAGACACAAGGTTTTTTGATCTTTAAATTACTGATCATATAGTAACCAGTTGTTCTGTTTTGAAGTTATACTTTGTCTTTTCAGTAACAGAGTGAGGAAAAAAAATAAAGGATTGAAAGTAAAATTTCATATATTTGATGGTAAAACAGGAAAGAAGAATATATATTAAATACAATTAACTATTTTATGGTTCACCTTTTGAAAGTTTGTCGTAATCATTTAAGCTAAACCTTCAGATTTAATTGTATCTTAAGGTATTTCATTTGAATTTCATAACTCTAACCACAATTTCATAAAGTTGGTAATGGAATATCACTTTTTTATTTTTAATAAGAGAATTATCTTTATAACTGCCAAATTTTATGATTTGGCCATAAAATATGTGATTTTTCATCCTTTTACAATAAATTAAACAGTTTATTTATGAATATCATTTCCACACCAATACATGAATTTAATGAAGAAATGATGATGTACTGGCATAATTTATTCTTTGATTTGCTACTGTTGTAGACTAGTTTTGCTGAGTTCAAGGTTCATCAGTACTACTTTGAAGCTTGAAGCAAGTAAATAGAGAAACCTTCGTACAGTGGTAGAATTTAAGTTATTTGGTTATTACTGGTGAGGAAAGGACTACAAGTCAAAACCAAACAAATAAACTATGTAGTTCTTATAATTTTTTAAATACTTTTTTTAACACTGTAAACTGAATTCATTTTTACCTCAACTGTGACTGAAGCTCAGTTAATATTCTGATCTTATAATCTTTTAGAATTTTATTGGTCACTCTTTAATATATTTGTTGTTTGTATGTAGAGTGACAGACGATGATGTGTTTTTAATTGTTTTTCATCATATATGTGAATTATTTGCATTTACTTTATGTTGAGTACCAAAACAGAGTGTATTCTTATCAATAAAACAACAGATGATGTTGATGAAACTAAATTAACCACATTTGTAAAATCTTAGTTGAAATCTTAATTGAAGTTTGAAATATGAACAAGATATTAGAAGAATTACATCAAGGACAAAAAAAGAAGTCTTCTCGTTTATAGCAAAGATACTTAGAATGTATCAAAGTATTTCTAGGTAACTTACATGTTTACTAAAATAGCAGAAAGTGATATTGTGTGAAAGAGGTTGGATAAATGAGGATTAGATGTATTCTGTTTTGTCTACTGCCACATGTATACCAATTGATGAGTGTGTAAAAAAAAAAAAACTGAGATAAATTTGATTTATTGAATTTGTACACACAGTTGATGCTATTGTGTAATTTAGCAAGCCTACATAAAAAAACTAGCTTACACAAGATTCCAGCAACATTTAGTAAAGGAACAAAAAATATGTAACTGGTACTGTATGTTTTTAGACTTCTGCACATTCACCTCCAGACTACTTCATATTTTAGATTTTGTTGGGAAAAAACAAAACAAAAAAACTTTTATTATATATCATTTTTCAAGGCTGACAGAGATATATATTTATTCATTATGAGGGATCTTGCTACTTGAGGCATAGCTTTTTGGATATATGAGAACATACTTACATAAAACAAAATAGAGGAGACTTATGTGTGTCAGGATACTCATTCAGTTGAACTTCAGTTATTACAGTTATCATTAAAGTGTAGCTGTTTTTTCACTAGTTGGCATTTTAGAATTTTTTTTGCTAATTCCTAATTAATTTTTAATCACCACAGAAAGTATTTGCAGATAAAATGCTCACCTGTTTACTGCCAAATGATTTTTGTGTTTTTTTTATGGCACATTTTAGGTATTACAACACCTCTTATCAAATCAGACACTGGGGACAAGTATGGAAAAACTGGAGGTTCTGCCATTTGGCTTAATCCAGAGAAAACAAGCCCATTTGAATTTTATCAGGTAGAGTTATTTCAGTCTGCTTATTACAGTTTTTTTTTGGGTGGCTGTGTGTGTAGTGTGGTTTTCATGACTATTTGATTACTACTATTTAATTTTGTTTAATGTTTTATGTGGGTTCTTGTAGAAATTTAAAATGTTTTATAAAGAATAATTTTCATAAAATAACAATCATCATAATCGTAAATTTGTTGTATTTCCAGTTTTTCATCAGACTTGCTGACAGAGATGTTGAAGCCTTCCTCAAATATTTTACTTTTCTTTCTCTTCAAGAAATTGAATCAGAACTGCAGAAACATATGGTAAGATACCAGTTGCTTTAGTTTATGATATTTTGTCTTTAACAAGAAATACACTATGTATAAAAATGTAGGTTGATTTCTAGTAGTAGTAGAGAGATTAATAGATCAAACTTGGGTTTTTGATACATTCTTCCTGACTGTACTTCAACTGTCTTGTTTAAATCATTAGAATTAAAAAATAAAAAAGGATCACTGTTATTTAATTAAAGCTGCAAATGCTGTATTATTTTATGATGTATTAAAAGAATCTCCTTACTTTTACATTTATATGGTCTTAGTAAAATACTTGCCTATCAATCAACCATTTTATGGTTAATTAGTATATTATTTTGTACTAATGCTTTGGTGGGATGGTTAAATAAAATGAGGTGGAGGTTAGCTTTAAACTACATGTATATGTGTACTTAATTACAGGATATCTTCATACTATTCATCATTAAATTTTCAAATGTAGTCTATTACAATATATTATATAGATCTTAAATTTTACTCTGAGACATGTTAGAAATGTCTTGGAAGAGTTATTTATTTGTTTGGAAGAAAGTGAAAAAGTAACAGATGGAAATATTGTTGATAATGTGCAAGCTCTGCAATACAAACCAGTATAAAAGGCTTAACAAAAGTATTGCTACTTAGATTCTGTTGTTATTAATGTGCAAACTCTGTAATACATTCTAGTGGATTTCACAAATGTATTGCTACTAAGTTTATGCTGTTAACGTGTTTTCCACTGCTGCAATTTTAACCGTTAAAATTAAACTTAAACCGCAGTTTAGCTGCGCTAAGCCATTAATGTCAAGTGACTTGCATTGTTTACTTATGCCAAAGAGTCATCTGGCACTCATCCATTATTGCTAAATTTCCAAAACTTTAGCAACAGTTCCGATTGAGTATGTGGCATAACAGTATTGACAAGCTGAGTAGCCAGCACTGGATCATTTAACCAGTTATTCTCTATTAATGGTTTTTCACAATACTCGTGATAAATTTTCTAATTTCATATGCATCGTTTGCAGACTACCAATGCACTCTGCTTTGAGGCAGTTCATTTCAAGAATTGTTCAGCAAACCTATTTGTTGTCATTGTTTACAACATCTTCCATCACAAACAGTTTGAAAATGTTAACTAAAACAGTCACTGATGATAAACATGCAACCACTTGAGGCTGTGTAGCAAAAGCAATACTAGTTGGACTAACATGTATAGCATGGACAATCTGCTGTTCATCAACTGAAGCTGGTATTCCAGTGTTACTTTTAGTGTCTGGGTTGACAGTGTAAGCTTGAATGTTTACCTGTTCTGTACAATCCAGGCCTTTTTACATCATTAGACTTGGAATAACTTGGCTTATAATTACCATTACTATCTACATTGTCCTCCTCAAATGACTCTGGACCAGGTTCTTGAAAAATACTTGCAGTTTCACTCACACTAAAGCATTTGTGCAACACTGTCATCACGTAGCTATCATGGTAACGAAAATAAACTTTTAAAGACATCTCAGGTCAAGTGAATTTAAACTTTAGGGAAAACTTTTTTCTGTCATTCACAAAAGGTCTGTACACACATAATCATTGTACAGCTCTAAGAGACTATTTATATGCATGCTCACACATAGTTATAACCCCTTTGCTGATCGATGTCTTAAAGTATAAGTAGTGCCTGACTACCAGAAATGATTGAATCATTAGCAACGAATGTGTTAATAATGTGCAAACTCTGTAATACATACCTGTGGGTTTAACAAAAGTATTGCTGGTACATTTCTGTTTGTTTATATGAGAAATCAAGAGAAGTGGTGTCTCTCAATATAATATAAATTACCTTAAGTGAGCAAGAAAGTTTTGTAAGTTTGGAAAAAAAGCTTGTAATATGTTTGAAGAACTTCATTTACTTTTTTGTAGGTATGCAAATTTTCATACATCTCTTGTAACTAGTTTCTATACACTTGTGTTAAAAATTATTTTTTGAAAAGAACATTTCTGTAAAGTGTTATGAATGTCTTGCAGAAGGATCCAGGATCAAGGCATGGTCAAAAAACTATTGCAAAAAATGTGACACTTCTGGTTCATGGAGGTATATGTGTTAGTATCTTTGTTAGATGTATAGATTGTGTTACTTTGTTTAGTTGATTTGATTATATTTTGGTACGAAAACAAGTAAAATAATTTTAATCAATATGCAATTATTATTATTTGCCAGTAAATATACTAAAAATTTTTCTTAAAATTTGGAATCATTTTTATGTTCAAGTTTGTGAAATTGTACATTTCAGATAATTTTTGTGTATGTGATACTAATAGTTACTATCTTGAAGGAAACAAACTGAAGGATATAATAATATAAAAATAGTTTTAATATAAAATAATATAAATATAAGAATTGTAGGACTCCTGTATAAATTTTTATTATTTATCAAGTTAGCAGACTCATTCATGAACCATTTTTTTGTTTAGCACTTTGTAAAAAACAAGATTGAGGATGAGATTTTTTTTCCATGTTTTAATTATACATAAAATGACTTACAAGTGCATGCAAATGATATTTTAAACCATAATGAATCATAACATTGAAACATAGATTAGTAAACACATTATTAATACTACAAATAAATGACCTTATATCACCAAAATGTAGTTTTTATTTAATTGGATACTCAATGTTTTGCTTTACAGCTTCTTCAGGAGCATTTACTAAAACACAAACCAAAACTCACAGTACAAAACTACAAATTAAATAGTAAATCCAGTAGTTATTATAAAACATTGGGTATGACGATATTGTACATAAGTTAATTTTGCTTGCATAAATTATTTATTATTCATTAAAATAAACTTAAAATTTTCAAATCCCTGCAGCAAAGTTTGAAAATTAATTTGAGCAAACCTTACATTTATTTTTATTTACCACTAAATTTTAAATTTCTTTAAGCCTTTATACTCTTTTAGGCAATACTGAATCTTTAACAGTTACCCATAATTTTTGCTTTCATTTCAGTAATCTTTTTTATGATAAAACTAATGAGAACCTCATTGTTATATTTTGAGCTTAAAGGTTTTAGTGATATAGCTTATTTTTGTGTTGAAAAGCAGAAACAAAATTGCAAAAAGTTTCAAACATTACAAACAACCAGTCAGTATAAATTGGACAAGACCTAATTCTAAAATTAAATTTAGATTTTTCTACTTAAATGGAAACAATAATATCAGTGCTTTATGTTGTAGTTATAGAATAAATTATGAAAAGTATTTAGTAATTTTTATTGTAATCAAAATTAGATTAAAAGCAGATGTGAAAACACATCCAAAGCACATGACGTTCTATGATAAATTATTTATAAGTTTAATCCAGCCACTGTATGAGCTGAGTATAGCCGAGTGGTTATGTGCTGGGCTGCAGGTCAGAAGGTTTGAGCTCAGCTTTAGGACTTAAAAAAAACAGTCTCACATTTGAGTAGCCAAGTAGGAAGTAGGTACTGGTGACTGATTGTTTTCTTAGTCAACAGTTCAAATTAGGGATAGCTATTGCCAGAACCTTGGGATTATTTAGCCTATGTGTCCATAAAGTAGTGTTCAGGTTGATAATACTAAATACCTCCATTGCATAAATGTTTTACACTGTAGATATAGAGGTATTTTTAGAATGTAATATTTAGAATGCATTACTGAATAATGATATTATACTCCAATATTTTATATTATGTAAGTTCTGTATGATCCATTCTTTACAAGAGTCAAGCTGACCATAAAACATCAACATTCCTTCAGGATAATGCGTTACTTCTCATATAAATGTATTGCAAACACAGAATCTCATATTTCTATATTTTCTTTACTTTGTATTCTGTAATCTGCATAATAAACTGGATATGATATAATTGGATATAATTCTGATATGATCTTAACTTCTGTCATACAAAGCTGTCTTAATCTTCTTTCTGCCCTCTAAGCATTGCTAAAAATTTTTCACACTCAGCACACTATAAACACTACCAATTTTGTGCCGCTATTGAACATATACATATCGTGTAATTACTCGCCACCAATAGTATTGCACCACTTACATTGGTGCAGCTAGCTCCCTCAATATTCCTGCTCAATCCTCACTTTCTTGATTGGCACACCTTTATTTAAATGTGTGTTTCTTCACATGTGGCAACCGTTTATGATTGTGCTTATTTGTCATTTCAATTTTAGACCAAATTCTCCTTTTCTGGGCCCACAATCACCACGTGGTGGCCTTAGCTTCCCATGTTCCTGGCACCCTGAATCCGGTTGTGGATCAATTATTTTGACTCGATAAGCTTTTCAATCCGCAGGTCTTTCTATGGGCATGTTCTCAGTTGGGAACTCCTCATATCGATGCTTTCATCACACCTGCAAGCTCTGGAAGTGGATGCATTCAGTCAAGATTGGAGGGGGTCATCACCATCACATCTATGCTGTATCTAGCACTCCTGGTGGTTCCATATTGGCCGGTGCACCTTAACACCGACCTTTACTTATACAACCTCTCATACCCTTACCCCTGTCTCAGTATTTACTCTGTCAACTTCAGTCGGACATCATTCATCAAGATGTCATCACTTTCCGTCTTCATGCACTGTTTTTGTCAGGTCCATTGCCTCAGCCCAGGGACTGACTCCACGTGTTGCATCTTTCCTTCCAGACCCATAAGACTTTCTTCCATGTCCATTTACCAAAGGTGATGGTCTGTCTTCTGCCTTTGGTCTCTTTGACATGATTTCTGTTCTTCCAACCCTTCTTTTCCTCATCTTTCCCAATTCTTTACCTCGTTGTTTGACATAGGCTTGTCCACATCGACTGTGTCTAGCTGTCAGGCAGCCTTGTCTAACACTTTCTGTTTCTTTAAATTTCGTAAAATTTTGTCTTTTCCTGTCATTTACCTCCTTCTATACTTTTTTTGGGTCATATGTCCTCCACATTCCTTTGATTTGCCTGATTGAGATCTCATTGTGGTCCTTTATGCCATTTCCCATCTTCCCTTTGTCAACATGTTCCATACACCATCTCTCCTTGCTTGTGGACATCGTCAATCAGATATTTATGCCATTAATGTTACCAGAATCCTCTGCCATTCCACTTATGTCATCCTATATCCAGACCGGTTTTTCCTTCCTAAGACACTGCCTGTTTGGCTTTCACACCCTTTTCCTTACCTCCCTTCTCCCACCTGTACTCCCATTCTGATCCAGATTGGCTTCCTTGTCGGGTTCACTCCTTACAGTGTTATGTGGCAACTTTTTCTTCCCTGGAATCCATCTGTTTCCCTTTATTAATCCCCTGTCATACCAACTGCTCGAGTTCATCAACTCATTAAGCTGGTGCATTTTGACTTATGCATGGACGGTTGCTATCTCCACAGTGTTTCTTTTCATCGCATTCGTCATATCACCATCTCTTTGGCTGCTCGTCTTTGTCATTCATTGGAGGAGATCGTTCAGGCCAGAATGTGGACTACTCCCAATGCCTTGTTGCTCATTATCTGCACAATCTGGTTGTATCTTCCCCCCAGCCCCCCAGTGGTACAGTGGTATGTCTGCGGACTTACAATCCTAGAAACCGAGTTTCAATACCCGTGGTGGGCAGAGCACAGATAGCCGATTGTGTAGCTTTGTGCTTAATTACAAACAAACAAATCTTCCCCATGTGGATATTGTCTCCTTCTTGTTGCAGTTCTACATATTTCCATTTGCCATATACTGGAGTAAGTCTTATCATATCATTTTGTTCATGTTTTCTTTTCAGAGACCCACTTTTTTTTTACCACTGGTGTTGCAGCGAACAAAAACAGATGGTAATCTGATGGTGCCATATCTGGAGAATGTGGTGGTTGGGGGAGAACTTCCCAACCCAACTCCATAATCTTGTGTTGCATCAAACATACCACATGTGGATGTGCATTGTCGTGGAGAAGAAGAACACCTTTCCGATTGACGATTGAAGGGCTTGGTTTAAATGTTCCAGCTGCTGATATTGATCTCTGCATTGAGTGTTCACTGTGGATTGAGGAATTTAAAATGAATTGCTCCTTTGATGTCCCACCCAATGTAAAGCATCACTTTATGTGGATGGAGTCCAGGTTTTGTCTAGGATTGAGCCATTGTCTTTGGCATTTAATATTTGCATAGGGAATCCATTTATCATCAGCAGTGACAATTCTGTCCAAAAATGGTTCAAGTGCATTACATGCCAGAAGATGACAAGCAACTTTCACATGTTGGAAACTATGATCATCAGAGAGTTCCTGAGGCACCCAAATGCCTTCTTTATGGAGTTTTCCGTATTCCTTAGATGTTTACATATTGTTTTACAAGTGAGGCGTACTTTCAGGGCCATTTCACGAGTGTGTTGCCTCACCAAATGTCTTCAGAGCATTAATATCAATTTTAACATGTCGGCCCTTGCCATCACAAGCAAAAGTCACCTGAATGAAATTTTCTGAACCATCGTTGACACTTATGAACGTTCAAAACATTTCCATAAACTTCTTTGTGGCTGTAGTGGTGTTGTTTCCCTTCTTGTTTTCAAACAGCATTACATACCAAATGTTTGTCTCGTTGTGTGTCATCACTATAATGGATTAGAGTATACTAAACTTTACACATTATATAGGCTACACTAACGTGGTGTTTAGGAGGTTCATTTAACTATTATACATTTTGGGGGGTAATGAAAGTGTTCCAAAACACGACATTAATTTCTTGATGACCTAATACAAGCTGTAACTATCTTATTTTGTACTAAATAGGATTTATTATATAAAATCCAGTATATTGAATTGTGTGTGTCTGTATTTGTATTTTATTTAAGAAATGAATAATAACACTTGATATTTCAGAGCATGGCCTACAATCTGCATTACGTGCTACAGAAGCTCTTTTCCACTCCACACCAGAAACACTTGTGAAGCTGAATGAAGAAGAACTACGGCAGATATTTCAACAAGCCACTGTGGTAGAACTATTACTTGATCCAGGAACAACAGTACTGGACATGGCTATGAGAGCTAAGTGCTTTGTTAATTTAGGTAAGTATTATTTTGTGTAAAACATATTAATGTGCCAGTTAAAAAAAGGTGGAAAATATTAGATAATTTCAGGACTATATACACAAGAAACCTATTAGTGTAGCAATTTCATGTTAATTAGTAAAATTAGGAACTGAAAAAGTGCTTTTCATATTTTCTTACTGTTCATTTTTTAAAATTATCCAATACATTTAACCAAGCTCATTTTCAGTAGTGGATGGAAAGTTTTTATGATATGTGGTAAATGTTAGCTTTTTCTTTAAAGTCTGTACAATAATAAAGTCATCTAGTGTTATAAAATAAACAAATCATTAATATTATTAGATAAAGCAAGGTTATAAATAATAAAACATTATATTGTGAAATCATAATCATTTTATGATTTTACTAGTAATGCTTAGTCACATTTATCACGGTATGTTGACATATGCCATCTTAAAGGATACTACAGACTAATTATTATTTTAAGAACTTTTTAATTTTTTTGGCTTACTAGAGGATGCTGAAAGAATAATCATGGCAGGAGGTTTTTACATAAATCACATTAGAATCAACAATCCCAAGTATGTCTTAATTCCAGGGCAGCACATTTTACCAAATGGAATATCAGTTGTTCGTGTAGGTGAGTTGTGTACAAACATACATGAATAATCTGCATGTATTTCTTGGTGTAATATAATTGATTTTTTATTATCGATCTTATTGTTTTGTTGAAATACCTATATTCTAGCTATTTACTTTTGTTTACCTGTTTCGATTTTCACATGTATATATACAGATATACATTTTTTATAAATATATTTTTTTAATATTGTCAACTACTTGTTTCTGAATATGGTGTGTAATTAATGTTTTCTTTTTCTCTTTTGTAAGTAGCACAATTTATAAAATTATGTATTGACTGTTCTTAGATAACTCAATCCCTAACAGTGAAAATAGGAATAATTTGAGGAGTTTATAAACTTCCAACTATTTTGTTCAAGTATCCTGGTTAATTAGAAATTGTTTTTCTTCACATAATAGTATTTTGTTCATATGTCTATATGATATAGAGCACAGTGGTTCAATTCATATGAGATTTTAAATTAAAACATCAATTAGAATTTAAAAATAAGAATATAAAATTATTCATTACCTCCACTTCATACATGTTTTTATATTTTTTTGTACTATATTCAAGTAATACTTTTTTATCTTAGGAAAGAAAAATTACTATATCATCAAGTGGTTAATGTAATAACAAAATTATTTAGAGGTAAGCACTAATAATATTTTTCATTATTATAATAACTGGATGTTTTGATTTGGAA